TTTCGTCTTCTTTTTCCTTTCAGTTTTCCACTCCTGTGTTTCCTCTAATCTTCGATTTTCAACCTTTCCTCCTACGCTTGTGTTTTTTTTTTCCTTAACCTGTTGATCCTCAGTTCTTCTTTACTTCTTTTCGTTGACACGCTCATCTCAGTCCACCTCTTTCTCTGTCTCCTCTTCCAAATTTGTTTCTTTTTCCTTGTCTTTTCTCACTTTGTCTCCTTATCAGCAGCAGGTTCTCTAGCAAAATATTTAATGCACAAAAGTGGAGTTTGTGCATGTAAATGGAGGCTCCTACAAAGTTTTGCTCACAATAAATCTGTCTGTTGATTGTTTTATTTATACGTACACAGGTTTTTAATGTTCTCGCTACGTGCACCTTTTTTTTATTACGTAAAACAATCTGCTTGCTTTCTAACACATTTATAATAGGAATGCACAATACTGGATTTTTGGCCGATATCCGATATGTTAAAACTTATTTAGCCGATAACTGATACCAATACCGATATTTTTCCCCCTAGACCTACTTTTATTATTATTAACCTTTATTCAACCAGGCAAATCCCCCTGAGATCACAGATCTCTTTTGCGAGGGAGGCCTGGGCCTGAAGTCAACCTAACATACAAACTTACAGAGACTACATAGCGTTCTCTGCTGTGGAATTAAAATACTACATTTTTCTGCATGACAATGACAACACTCGAACAGCGCAGATTTGTAAATTTTCACAAACCTAAACTCAACCTGTTCACAAGCGATAAGTGAAAAATGCATAAGTAGTAGTGTATTAATAGATATACTTGACAGTTTCTTAAATTAAAAATGAACTTAAAACAGGAGCCTTTTATATCTGAGTTATTTTGATGGAATGGCTGATGTCCGATATTTAACATTATCGTTAATATCGGCCGATACCGATACCATGCCGGTAATATCGTGCATCCCTAATTTAAAATATAATATGTTTGGAGTTACTTTTTGTGGGACAATAAAATGTTCTCCAATACTTTAAAATCAGTAGTAAAATTATTTTATCAGTATCCTTTATTGAGTTTGACATTTTATATTTTTGAGATCTCAAAGTAAAATGAAGTTTTCTCCATGAATTTAAAAAAAAAACTGTTTCAAAAAAAGTTTAAAAAACAAATAAAAGTTGGTTGTGTAAATTTGTATTGCAGCGTAGCTGGAAAAGTCTTTAATAAACTTTTATAAACTGTTGTTTTATCTGTAGGGCGGCACGGTGGCTCAGTTGGTAGAACTATTGCCTCTCGGTGAGAAAGTTGAAAGATCAAATCCCAGCCGGGGGCTTCTCTGGATGGAGTTTGCATGTTCTCTCCGTGCATGCGTGGGTTTTCTCCGGGTGCTCCGGTTTCCTCCCACAGATCAAAACCATGCAAATAAATAAAGGTTGAATGAATGTTCAGCTAAATGGTAACTGTAATTGTCTCTAGGTGTGAGTGAGAGAGTGAATGGTTGTTTGTCTCGTTTGTCTCTATGTGTCCCTGTGATGGACTGGAGACCTGTCCAGGGTGTTCCTGCCTCTTGCACAGTGATAGCTGGACATGGGCACCAGTGACCCGAAAAGGAAGAAGCGGGTAAAAGATAATGTTTACTGTTGTCATCATCCTTTGTTAGAATCAGGTCTCTCTTGTAAATGAGTCCCCGAGGCTCAATGGGATTAACCTGTCTAAATAAAGGCTGCATGAATGTTTTATCTGTACACCTCGCAGAGGATCTTGTCCATTCTGTTCAGGTCAACCAGGTTTTTCTGTTTGCAGTCGGCTCCAGACCAGATCTCACCTCAGAACCTGTTTTCTCATTAGTTTGGTTAATTCGAGTCTTTGGCTCTGATGCTGATACCTCAGCATGTGGCAGCAACAATGTTCCCTCTTCACCACAGATTTTATCAACAATATGCAGCATCTTATTGCTAATATTATAAGACTTGATCTTCCTTAAGAAGTTCATTCTGCTGCGGCCCGTCTCTTTTTACCTGCTAATCGTTTGACTTTAGTCAGTACCAGTGGTATTTTGATGCTCTCTTTGTGGGGAAATCTCATTAGTTGAAGCAGAAAGTAAGCAGCAATGTAAATGCATGAGATTTATAATAACAGGATTAGTTCGGTCTCATTGCACAGTGCAACAATTCAAACTGGGCTCCGGATACTCAACTATAAAATAAGCCTCCGGTGTTGGCGATGAGACGCTGATCAAGACTGCAAGAGCATGAAATATGTCCAACATTAATTGACACATGGGACAAATAACAGCTTGCCCACTACTAATTAAGTGTTGAAATACCTTTTTGTTTTTCTGGCAACTATTTTTTTCCTACTGATTATGGCACCTTTTCAAACCATTAACTGGTAGAAAACTCACCAAGATGTTATTTTGTTTTCTGTCAAATAACCCCCCCCCCCCCCCTTTTATATTTTTCCATTCAGTCTTTTGATTATTTAATATTTTGTACCCCTTCTTTGCCTTTTTTCCCGGCTGTAGCTGTTAGACCTATGAAAAAACTATCGCCTCATTCTTTTCTTGTTTCTGCATTTCTTCTTTTCTTTTCCCATTTCATTCATTCATTTATTTTTTTTTCTATCTGCCAGTCCGCCATCTAGTTTAACTGTCTTCTGCTTTTTTTAATCAACTTAGAAGTTTCTATATTTTCACGTCTTTATTTTTTGCCCTATCGCTGTTCCTTTACCACGGTTTTTCATTACCTATATTTATTATGCGCCCACCACTTTGTTTCTGTGTTTTTTTCAGGTGCTTTTTTATTTTTCAATTTATTCTCCACCTATCTTCCCATTTTTATACCTGTTGTCCCCCTTCCCCTCTTCTTCCCCTCCCCATTGTTTTTTATCTCTGTCTCTGTGCCACTGTGGTGGATGATAGCTCTCTGGAGATCTCATCACTGAGTCTCTCTTATTACATGATTGCAGGGTAATTATCATGTGAAGTTGTCTTTGCCCGAATCTATAAAAGACAACTAATGTCTTTTTAATGGGGTTTAGAGTTTGGAGGCTTTTTTTGTCTTTTGTAGTTTCTGTGGACTCCTCAAATTCATTGCATTTCCATGTGATTGGCCTGAAACAGTGTGTCCTGATTAAATGTCTGTAATTCTTTGTGGTATTTTAAGAAAGGAATCTCGTTTACAGTTGTCATTCAAAGTCGTTTGCCTTGCGACTTTTTCAGAAGGTGCCAGCATCTGATTAGACCTGAACCAACGAAGCTCCTGTGATGAATTAGACTGAACTCTGGCTGGGACTTTACAGGAAAGTCAAGGTCAGGTTGCTTCTAAACACCGAAACCTACAGTAGTGCTGATAACCCAAGCCTGCCGTTTTTGTGCGTTTTATAATTTAATTAAATCTACTTCAGAGAGCCCAGGAATCATTTTCATCATTCATACACAGTAAAGCATCTACAACTTGTTTCCACTCGTGTTTTCCAGATACATCATGCAGAAAACTTAACACATGTTTCTTATTTGTAGCTTCCTTTTATGTATTCACCTGATTATCAGTCATTAAAAACTATTTGTCAAAACCCCGAGAATAAAGTCGTGCCTAAAAAAGATTTGCACAACCAGAATGTTTGGCATTAAAGCAAATTATCAGAATACAGTTAGAGTTATGCAACAAATTGAAGCATGAAGGGCTGAATTTAGGATTTGATTTAAAGGCATTAGAATCAAAATTGAGGTAAGCTTTTAAAAATATAGCTCGATTTGTAGAGTCTTCGTTTTTTTGAGGTTCAAATATGACAATGGTTTTGGATAACTATAATAAATTATTTTTGCTGGACATCAAAATCAGCAACCCCTGCTACCTGGATTGAAGTAATGGATTCTATGTTGGTCGGTCAGTCAGTTGATTGGTTGGTTTGCTCTTTCACTAGTTGGTTGGTTGGTCTGTTACTTAGTTCACTCGGTTTGCTCGCTTGCTCACTGGTTAGTTCGCTCGCTTCACTCACTCTCTTACTGGTTGGTTGGTTCACTCGCTCGCTCACTGGTTGGGTGGTTCGCTCGCTCACTGGTTAGTTGGTTGGTTCACTTGCTCGCTCGCGTGATGACTGGTTGGTTGGTTGGTTCGCTTGCTCGTTCACTGGTTGGTTGGTTGGTTCACTCTCTCACTGGTTGGTTGGTTGGTTCACTTTCTCACTGTTTTTTTGGTTGGGTTGTTAGTTTGCTCACTGGATAGTT